GTGACTTTTTTTTTGTAATGGATATAACCTTCAATGAAAAATAAAAACAAAATGTACATTAACTTACTGTGTTTCCAAGGAGGAAAATCTCAGTTACGGTACTTGATTCGTTCTTCTAAGATATTTTCGACTGTTTTACAACGCGTGTAAGGACTCCTTTACCTTGTCACAGAGAGAATCAACTGTTTCGTTCAGAACTTGTCAACAGCTATTTGAAATTGAGCTCTTACAAAACGAAAGCTTATTTTTTTATGACCCAAGTGACATTCACCGACCCCTGTTGCGTTTTTCCGTTCGTTGGTGTTTGTTCTGCACGCAACCATTTACACAATCGAGCAGTGTGCTTTTGTAAAGACGTTTGCGTGATTTTATGGACACACGGCGCTATTCATGGAAAACCCCTGACTACAACCTAAGTAGATAATTAGTATCTTGGCGATGTAAACTCTTCATTGTGTATATTTTTTTAATTAAGAATTTTGTGCTTGACTGTTTTCAATTAAAACCATGTATTGTTATTTTCACACCAACTGGGCTTAGATCTAAACCTGTAATCTTTCCAGTTTGTCCTGGTGTTCTTTAGAAATGTCTGCCTCTAAATTGCACAGCGCATAATCGATTAAGCAAAACTTAAATACGCAGCAACAGTTTTGCTTTTCGACCTCGCTGAATTGCCATAACTTTTGGATATCTGTCATTTTTGTACCCGCTTCGGAAACATCAAAAGTTTACAATGTTTGTTACTAGTATTAGGACTGTTTTTCCAATTAGGATCGCATAATTTTGTTTGTTTAAGTTTTAATCCTCTGTGATGGAATCTTAAGTGGTAGACTTTCTCAAACAGGTGTTTGTCTTCTGATCCGGGCGAAAAATGGACACGATCCAGGTTGATTTTTTTTGGAATGAACAACGACCGCTGTGGTACAAAACAGTTGTCATTATCAATAACTACAAAAGTCTTAGTGCCCTTTTCTTAAACGAGTAACCGCAAAATTTAATTAAAATAGTCGACGTATACTTATATAAATTTTCAGGAAGTATGGAGGAGCATGTGTCAGTCACAAAATGAATAAAAGGTTTAAAGTCTTGTGAGCGATGATGTCATTTCCCTGCCGGAAACACTCCAATTTGCGTTTAAATTCGTAGCTATTTTAACTTTATAGTTACACCTTAAAACTCTCAAGATCTGTTTGTTAATTCTCTCCTCTATCTGCTACACATTTCTTTAAGAATTAGTTTCATAAATTTGGTGTTAGATCAAGATAACAACTTCTACCTGATACCTTCGAGTATTCTCATTACCTGTTTGCTGGATAGTGGGAGGAGATTGTAGGGAGAGGTTACATGTTAATCTCCTATGGGAGTTAAAGGGTTGATTTTATAGTTAATTCAAAGAGCAGTTTTAAATGCATACTTCATACTTTTCCGGGCTATGGTCTTAGGGAAGTCTGGCAGTTGTTTCTCGTTCCTGTGAGCTTCTTTTATTCGAATTTGGTTTTGAAAAAAGTTTGTAGAGTGAAGTTCTAACCAGATATATCAAGTACAGGAGTTTTAGATCTTCTCTCGAGTTTTCGAGAATTTCTTATGCTTATTTGCCTGAACTTATCTGAGATAAACTTCAACCCTGAAAAGTATTCACTCAAAATGAACGGGACGGAGGCAAACTTCATAGTGAGAAATAGGAATTGTGTATTCCTGATGAGGCTTGCTGGTTGCTATGGAAGTGTATTTCAAACAATTACACCCTTAATTAGAATTAACAAAACCCGCGGTGTATAGGGCTTACTTGTGAATATGTTGACATGTATTTCTGCATGTTATAATAAAGAGCACAGTCAGTGAACAAGTATGTCAACCTTATAATCAAAAACAAAATATAACGATTTAGTTTTAAGTAACTAAGCTGGAAGTGTAACAGAGTGATTGAGTGGAATACATAGGCGACAATCCACTGGAGCTCAGTTCTATCCGGCAAAAGGAACACCAAGATAATTTAATTCAAATGTGACTTTTTTTTTCTCGCAGTCTCCAACTGAGAAAATAAAACAGAAACAACAAAAGAAAAGATTAGTTGTTACTGTGGGAAATGCGGATTGTTTTTGACGTGTAGTCTCTTTGTGCGTTGCTTCTACTGATTTGCTGAAAGACATGACATATAGGCTGGTAGGAAACTCTGGTGGGGTTGTTTCGTGTGGTTAATCAAGTTGAAACCAACTGTAAGTATTCAATGGGTAAAAACAGTCACCAGTTTAGTATCAGTTTTATGATTACCTACTGTTTACCATATGTATAGAGTAAACTAAGCTGGGGTGAGAAGACTTGAAACTTGATGAAAATATAACATCTTCTAACAAATTTCATTATTATTATCTAATAAAAGGATCACGAGAATGTATAGTCTTGTTGGGCGGAGGGTGTTGTCTTGATGTTACAACAAATTCTCATTGTTAATCTTTTAAAATAATGTGTAGCAGTTAAAGGGGAGAATTGTGAATAAGATCATTGTATAAAGCTGACATGTACCTGGAATACAGAAATTCATCAAAAAAGAGAACATTTAAACCCAAACAAACACAAAGACAAACACAAAATTCTCATTGGAACTTTGCAAAAGACTGTTTGATAGTCAGCAAGGAGATTTAGCCATCAAGCTCTAGTTTTTCAGGGGTGGATAACGTTATTCACTAGCTAGATCTCTGTTTGGTATGTTTTTTTTTCTTAACTGATCCGCTCAGTTGGTAGCGATTTATCCTTTGGGTGGCGTTATCAGCCTTTTGAAAAACTAGGCCCAGATCTATGGGGAAAAAGGACCGAGTCATTTTTTTCTTTACAGCGAATAATGCAAGCACTAGAGCCACAATTTATTCATGGAATAGTGCGTTTACTCAAAAGAAAAACATAAGCAGTTGCTTCCATTCCAGTTCTCACCATGTACAGTTGTCCCCGAATTCTAGAAGAGGAACATGAGATTTCAATTACTCGAACGCTTGTCCAAAAAGTTCCTATTTTTCTCTCTCGTTATGGAGGATAATGATAGTCCACGGGTAGTATAAGACAGTACGAACTGAAATGAAGGAGAAGTTGTGTTTTAATCGCCTGGGAATAAAAGGGTAAAGTCACGAGAGAGAAATGATGACCACGTGTTCTTAGCGTGGATGCATTCGTCTTTACCTTTTTGCCCTTTGGATCCTGTATTTTTTCAAAAACCGCTTTTAGCTTTTGCTGAATCTGTCATTTGTCAACTGCACATGTGGTTTCCCTTTCTGAAATCTGATTTCTTCAGTTTTTTATCATTATTTCGTTCATGGAAGTCGCCTTAGAAACGCCCTTTCTCTTTCGCAATATGCCCTTATAACCAAATTACAAATCAGTTTGATGATACAAGATAGAGAGACGGCCAGAGAGAGAGAGAGAGAGATCGCTGATTTGTATCAAAAGCCTTGCACAGTTCAAAGTATCACATTCGTGACTGATGGCGGATGGAAAGCGACACATCCGTTAATCAAATAGTAATAATAAAGGGAAGCAAAAGAACAAAACGAGAACAAACACAAGAACAAATCCAAAGCACTTCTTTAATTATCTCATCAACTCATCTGTAAAACATGCAGCCTTTTTTATTACAGAGCTTCAGTCAGCCATTGTTAATCATTTGTTGGAGCGTGCCGCGGAAGTACACCAGTAGTTATCACCCGTTGTGTGAGTTTTTATCAATTTCCCGTCATTCGAAGCTTTTTGTCGGCAGAGAGAGAGAGAGAGATTTTATTCGCGAAGTCTACCACGATGTTTTATTTGTTTCTTTGCAAATTATATCAGAAAAATTCCTACTTATCCACATGTTGTGATCAGTTCTTTGACTTTTGAAGTTACCACAACAACACTACAGCCTCTTAGAAACTCCTTTCATTTTAGCTTTATGTGCTTGCATCACAAACATCAGTTCCGTTCAATTACTGTCAGTTTTTACAATTAAATTCCAAAGTTTCATCAAAATCTGTGTAAACAATTCAGAGCCACTTTAATCTATGAAACTTTAAGATGGCTTTGAAATTTCAAAAATAGGTTTTCCCTAAAAGTTTACAGAAAGGTGAATCTTGATATGTTTACCACATTTCTACGATAGATATAATGGTTTTGGAGTTACAGGCACATCAAAGTGAATTAAGGGTGTTTTTAAGATCATGTCGTTGTCGTTGGCAATCCATCAACAACGGCCGGGAAGAGGGCTACTGGGTAGTGTTCAGTCTTCAGTCTATGAATATGACAAAGTATTGCTTTGGTTACTTAATACATCGAAAAGTCGATCAAACTGGTGGAGAAATAATTGTGCTTTTTTTTAATCACATTTTCAAAAAAGCCATCGAAAATTAAAATAGATAATTATAAGTTTTAGTAATGAAATACCGCTTGTATTTGTTCAGGCGCAGTGAACATAACAAGGATTAAGCTGTAGGGTACTCACGAACAGATAATTTCCCGTAAGATTAAAATTCACGCGAGAAGCGTTGTCGTGACAACTAATTAACCTTGTACAAGAATCTCTCAGTTTTATAGTATATGCCATATATCTGATCAGAGTTACCTTCCAGTATTTCCAGGATGGTATGATTTTAATTTTTTTTTTTTTTTGAAGAGTCAAGGCATTCACTTTTAAAGTTTGCGTTCACTAGGAAGTAAATTAAGTTTATGACGGACTAAATCAAAGTTAAATTAATTTTTTTCCGACTGAAAATACGTTTCACAGTTCAAATTAGATGCTTCCCGTTGACAACTTTTTCAGCACGCGCATGTGATTCTCCACTTTAATCTTTATCAACACGCGCTCAACTTCCGTCAGTTAGTCTCCTTAAAGGTTATTAACGATTTTAATCAAGATTATTTGTCAACAGTTTGATTAACGAGGACAAGAAAAAGAGATTTTTCAGCAGTTGACAGCAATCAGGTTTTGAATACATTATAAACTGAGAGCAAAAGGTCGCACTGATGATGAATAACAACAGCTCTGATCGACAACTGATTTAACAACATGCGAAAGCAACTTGGTTTTCGCCATTACTTTGCCATCGGAACCGTGGTAACCGCTCTAGTTCTTACGATTTCTTTTTTAAATGAGCGTATACCAACGTCGAGAGGTTTTCTCTCAGAAAACTGGGAGTCTGACGATGTTCCCTCTAAAAGTTATAAGCGACAACGAAAGGGCTTGTTAATCATAGGAAGAGGTCGATCAGGCACGAGTTTCCTGTCGAAGATGTTTGGGAGCGGAAAAAGAGTGAGTAAACAAATGTTAACATAAAAACATTCTTTGAATTAATCACACATCAATCTTATAATTTTAATAGCATTTGTTGTTCATGAATTTCACAGGGTCCTAAATAGAAGGATTACACAGTTCGAGTTTATCCTATGAAGTATTCGTCTGGTATATTTTGTTGTCAAAACGCCAACCAAAATATGACAAAAATTACCTGTTAGTGTGGCTTCAAATGAGCTCTTCCCGCAGAAAATTAAACAAACACACTAATTTGATCCGGTTTGCTTTAAGATTACCCCGCGGTTGGAAACAAATCAGGTTTAAGCGGAGGAGAAAGTAGCGAACTTTCCCAAAGGCCGAACTCTTCCCTCCCCTCTCCTCGTTTTGATAATTTTCTATCAGTTTTGAAGATATTTTGGCCAAAAGTTGGGATAATTGGGTTTTATTATCTGTGTATTACCTCTACACCAAAATAATGCTTATGAGCGTGAGAGGAAAGACGATTTAGGGGTCGCTTTAAAATTATCTTACACAAAGCTTCAATAAATTCTAGGACTTGATTTGTCCGAGATCATTACAACAGATTTTGATCTTTTGCCATGGCAGTTGATCTACCCTTTTTAGATAATCAACCATGAGTCAAAAGCTTGATTTGATCACATTTCCACCCAAACATCCCGAGGGTCAATACAATTAAGACGCTTATCGTGATGTAACACCAAATTCTCAAGAGTATCTGTCGAAGAAATATACAGTTCTGAGTAAGGAGAGTCAACTTTTTGATCACGAAAGGGTAGATGGCTGCCATTAGTTTTATTTTTGCGTTCGTAGTTTCCTAGTACGTTCATTGACTGAATGACTGGAGGGGGGGGGGTACTTGGGTCAATTTTTGCTTAGAAACCCATTGTAATCTATTCTGTAGCCAATTGTAGACCCCATCTTCGTCAATTTTAGGCAAATGTAATTTTCGCGATCTCAACTTTCTGTTATGTTTCTACCCTTTACCAGAACTTCCTTATCCCAAAAATTACGAAAGTTTGCGACCTTTTTAGTAACTGCATTGAAAATGTAATCCCTTCACAGTCAATCCAGTCGTGAAATGCGACCCCAATTAGCCTCAGGAATTAAGAAGTTCCCTCCCCCCGGGAGAGCTGTGCAACTGGCGAGCGTTACCATTTTCATTCACAGATTTTCGAAGTTTATGAACCTTTACGATTTCGCAACCTCACAAACATTGCAAAGATAGAAGTTCTGAAAGCATTTCTCTCCTGCAACTTCGCTTCAAGTCCTCTATGGCAAAAAGACTATTTTCCACCTTTCTGGTACTTGAAACAGAAGTATTATTTCGTTACTCCAAGTCAACACCTGGCGTGCCTAAAATACAGAAGTGGAAGTACACGCTGTTTCCCTGCGGAGCAGATGTTTACAAAATTTATCGATAAGTGCAGATACAGCTATGACAGCACTGTGCTTAAGGAGCTTACTGAACGGTTACCAGACACCAGTTTGTCAAGTCTAATACCGGAAATTATTGACCGCTCATTAAGTACAGATATCAGACTACTGCACGTTGTGCGTGATCCTAGAGGAAGTATTAACTCGAGGATTAAACTTAAGTGGATGCCAGATTACGAACATCCACAATTTAAGGAAAAGGTTCAAGACTACTGTAATGGGATTCTCCAAAACATCGAGTTTGGTTTACAACTTAACGAATCTCTCCAACAGAGATATAAACTTATCTTCTACAAGGATATAGCCACCCGGCCGGTTGAATCGGCGAGAGAAGTCTTCAAGTTCGCGGGATTAAGGTTATCAGACAAAACATTAAGCTGGATCGAAAACAGGACAAGTCCAAGTAAAATGGATTCGAGAAGGCAGTTTAAGAATCCGTACTCGCTAGTAAGGGATTCTAAGGCGAATATCGAAAAATGGCGGAGAGAGTCGCCACCGGAACGAACTCTGATTATAGAGAGAATTTGTAAACCGTTGATTGAACTTATGGAGAAAATCAGTATCGAAAGAGAATATTTTTTGATATAGATATCTTAAGGAAGCGCAAAATGGTTTTGTTATTTTGTTAGAAGATATTTCTTACACTTTTAGTACAGTGGTACTTTCTATATTCCTTTTCTATTACACAACTTGCTGCCTTGGGAACTAGCTCAGATCTGAGTGAGAATGCTGGTCACCAGCTTATAAAGGTGACACTTACTAAGCTGTCAATCTTCATGCATCTTCATCATTTCTCACTTAGCCAGCGAATCACGTTAAGTTACGAGAAATAGTTCCCGCATGCTAAGTACGTACCTTCGAGATGTTTACGCTTTACAAAATCTTTTTCTACCTTAAATTTCTTACTCTTGCGGTCAAGGTTGGGCAAAAAAAGAACGAGATTATGGTAATATGAAAATTATAATGAACTTATTGACAGAATTAGAATCATACTTGAAAAGATATCTTAAGAGAAAATAGCCTTCGAAGACTCTTACATAACAACAGAATAAACAGAAAATTCGGAGAGGAAAGGGCGTACCCAAGGTACTGCCTTTACAAGAATTAAGTGCTGTTCGTATAAGTGCTTGATTATCAATTCAGTGCAGAAAATGAAAAGTGTTAGCTGTTTACACCTTAAGTCACCTTTGAAGAAAGAGGTGTCGGACAAGCTAAAGTAAAATTGTTTACATAGAAACATCTTTCTCCATGTCAAATTCGCGACCGCAATAAAAAAAGGTGACAAACTCTATTTGTAAGATAAGACCGCCAAAGGATAAGAAGACCGCCAAGAGCAAATGATCAACTTGCATCTTATAATTTTTTTTAATGAATGGCTAATGGTAATGAATTATTTCCATTCATTTTCTCAACACCAATATGGGGAAAACCTTCCAATGTTTTCAGATTAGATATGTATATATATATATTTCTATCGTTTAACAATTTTCAACATTAATCCTGTGGGTATTTAAGGAGGCTCTGAACCAATTTATCGATTTCTAAAAAAGACTTTACAGACAGTGAAACTTGACATGCTAATTGCAATCTACTTTCGCCAAACTCGATTACAAGTTACAGTAATATAGATCTAAAATTAGGTTTGTTTTCAAGAGGCTGTGTCGTCGTCACTCTCTTCGTATTTATCAGAAAAAGGAGCATAACACGATATGAAATAAATGGGCTTGTTAATTACTTTTTAACGAGTAAATAAGCATTATAACAAATGTCTTTTGAGCCACCTTGAGGTCAGCGGAATTATCATAAGTTATCGTGAGTTGTCTTTCAGTGACACCCTCGCCTGTGTAGTCAGTTTTTGCGTTTCCTTTCAAAGAAACGTACGCAGTTGAACAAAGACGTTTCGTCGAACGCCTTTCCTGTCTTTTCTTTCCTTTCCCACCCTTGTACTCTGTGCTTTGATTTCAGCTGCCTGCTAACCCCAATCTGCCCGAGCGGTGTCCCCGGGGGACTGCAGCGAGGAGAGATGGAACTCTTCATTTAATGAATTCAAGTATTTCAGAGTCGATTTTTCATTTTCATTTATGATTTGCCAACTTTGGTTTGGAAACTCTCTCCATGCCTAATGAATCCAATAGAGTTTTGCAATGTCTCTCAATGATCCGATTCCTGAAATAAAATGCATCTTCCCTCCATTTATCCGCGTTTCCTGAAGCATTCCGCACTGTAGAATAAGGTTTCTCCAGTTCCTTCTTGAGTGTTTCCGCGCTCGGTTTTGTTGTCTCTAATACCCATTGTTCTGTCTCTAGAGGCATTTTAAATCCAGCAAAGTCATAGATATCCTTGGCAGTCCCCAACGGATCATCAGCAATCTGCTTGTACAAAACCAGTTTGTACCTGTGTTTGAGTCCCAAGTCTGTTAACGTTTTATCCGCATGATATAAATTAATGAGAATTGAACCACATAGGTCTGCTGCAGTCGATGGTAGTTTTGGGCTGGGGTAATCTTTCACCCAGTCTAAATTAATTCGAGAATTAATGTTACCTCGGGGATCTCGTACCAGATGTAACACTCGCACGTCTAGATCCGGATTTTCCAATAAAACTCGAGGAACAAGATCAGCCAGTTTTTCTCGAGGTAACCTAGCGGGTGCGACCTTAACAACGCTGTGTTTATACTTTGTATTGCAAACACGATCCACAAAACCCGGGTTTTTTCCAAGTTTGGGACAATTTCTATTCCTTACATCCCGAGTTTTGTTGCAAAAGTTTGGTGTATCGAAAATATTAACCGGCAGAGCACCAGTCCAGGGAGTGGAAACATACGACAGGAATTTTGTCGAGGCAGGGGAGCGTGAGAAATTACAAGCCATAATGGAACTTACTACTTGAAGTTCGCAACTTATGCAACGATGATAATACTGGTTTTCGTAAAAAAACCATCTTTGAGTTATCCAGAGCGGCTCGTACACCATGAATATTTGTGGATCGTTTGCAAACATTGCACTTATAAAGGTCGTCCCAGAGCGATCTTGCCCAAAAATTATTAAGCCTTTTCTTGGAACTCGTAGAGAAGGAATCTGAATATATGTGGATTGTTCTTTTTTCAAACTCGACTGATTACCACGGTATGTTTTAACATTAAATGTGTAAAACACGTAACCTAAGAAAACCAGTGAGACACTTAAAATTGCTGACCAATATTTAATGAAATTTCTCGTCCGCATCTTTAACCTGTAAATAATAAAAAAGGAAATCAAAAACGTAAACGAGCTTGGGAAACTTCAGTTTAAAGCAAGATCGAAATGTGCTCTTGATAGAAAAGGAAGAAAAAGGGGAAAAACAGGAAGCGAGAGCATGAAGTGGCATTTCAGCCGACTGATTACCACAGGGTTCCCAACGAAGAACGCTTTCCATGACTGATCGAATAAATACATTTGATTCATCCAACTTATATCTCTTGCCAGTGAAAACTGATAGCTCTTTCGTAATCATTCATTCTTTAATTGAAAATTAAATTCAAAACGGATGCCGGTTAAAAATATCTTTCTAAAGATGTAATGGCTGGAATTTTACATTCACAATTTCTTGCCTTTTTTTTAAAAGATTGAAGTCATTTAGGGTACTAATATTTCTTTTGTTGCAATTATGTTATACGCCTGCATAAATATAGAGGTTGGCAAACGATTTATATTTTTATGTGACGCGTGAGTTAGTTAAAAATTTAAACGTGACGCGTGGCAAGTCAAGATGAGATCTGAAGTTTCCCTTTTGCTTTTTGTTACGCGCGCTTAAATATTCTTGAGTTCGAAAACAAAAAATGACGCGCGAATTTCTCTAAAATGCTTGCAGGAACCTTCTCTTTGCTATCCTTAACATACACAACTCCAAGCTATGATAATCAGCATATTTATCAGGGCAAATTCTTTTAGACCATCCAGTCACCAGTTTTTATGCTGCGGTAGGACATAATGAAATTGGGTTCGCGCTTCCCACACAGGTCACGATCGTCTTCGATTTAAAACTCTTACCTCTTGGAAATGTACTTTTTTCCTTATGTTATGACTCAGTCATCAAGTCTAGTCAGGTTCAATGTCTCAGCTTTCAAAACCAGACAATACACGCGATGGAGATTTACAGAGCTAACAAAACGCACAAGTAAATCTGAACCTTAGCTCACAAACTAACCTCTTGCTAAAGGCAGGGTGTTTGCGATAACACAAATTGCAGTAAATTTCTGTCTATTTTGATTTATGTGCAAACATACTTCTCCGAGACACAAAGTTGCTTAGTGACACAATGCAAAAGATATGCGCCGCTTATATTAAGGAAAATAGCAATGTAATTGCTGCTTTAGTTTGTAAATATAGCTGACGTTTTCAAAATGTTGCACAGTTTAATTTTATTTATTTATTACAAAACCTTTGAGCCTGAAATCGTGTGGTTTCACTGGCTTTGTTTTGTTGACCTAAAAAATGCAAAGGTTGAGCACTACAACCTTAAAATTTTCTCCCTAGAAGTCTTCTTTTTTTCCACCACAGAAGCCTATTCGAACATTTTCATTAGATGTTCTGGGCTTTTTGTGTTTGAACCTATCAACGCAATGTAAAAGAAACACTCACTGAGGAGGTTATATAATGCTATTTTAGA